CTGTCTTGGATCCTGCTTCAGGTTTTCCTAAATTCTTTCAAACAAGCAGCATCTGGTCTCAGATAGCTCCACATCTCTCGATAAATAATACACAGAAACAAACACAGGGAGGCAGCTGTAATGAGAAGACAAAGAAACAGGTCCCAAATGAAAGAACAGAACAAAACCCCAAGAAAAGAACTAAGCAAAATGGAGATAAGCAACCTAACAGATGCTGAGTTCAAAATACTGCTTATAAGGATGCTCAGTGAACTTAGTGAGGGCCTCAAGAGCATAAAAAAGGACCAGTCAGAAATGATGGATGCACAGTCAGAAATAAAGGAGGCATTAACTGAAATAAAGAATAATTTACACAGATTCAACAGTAGAATAGGTAAAGCCAAGAAGCAAACCATCGATTTGGAATATAAGGAAGCAAAAAAACACCCAATCAGAACAGCAAAAAGAAAAAAGAATCCAAAAAAAATGAGGATAGTGTAAGGAGCCTGTGGGACAACTTCAAGCATGCCAACATTCACATCTTGGGGGTGCCAGAAGGAGAAGACCGAGAACAAGAAATCGAAAACCTGTTTGAAACAATAATGGCAGAAAAATTCCCTAACTTGGTGAAGGAAACAGACATACAAGTCCAGGAAGCACAGAGAGTCCCAAACAAGATGAACCCCAAGAGGCCCACACCAAGACACATCATCATCAAAATGAAAAAGGTTCAAGACAAAGAGAGAATCTTAAGAGCAGCAAGAGAAAAGCAGATAATTACCTACAAGGGAGTTCCCATAAGGCTGTCAGCTGATTTCTCAAAAGAAACTTTCCAGGCCAGAAGGGAGTGGCAAGAAATATTCAGAGTGATGAAAAGCAACAACCTACAACCAAGATTACTCTATCCTGCAAAGCTGTCATTTAGAATCGATGGCCATATAAAGACTTTCCCAGGCAAGAAAAAGTTAAAGGAGTTCATCACCATCAAACCATTATTATATTAAATGATGAAGGGTCTTTTTGAAGAAAAAGATAAAATATATGAACAAACAAAATGGCAATGAATACATATCTATCGACAATGGAATCCACAAACAAATTGAACAGGCAGAACAGAAACATTCTCATAGATACAGAGAACATTTTGTTGGTTGCCAGATGGGAGGGGGTTTGGCGGAATGGGTGAAAAAGGTGAAGGGATTAAGAAGAACAAATTGGTTGCTAGACTGACAAACCTCAAAGAGAAGGGGGTTGGGGGTGGGAGGAAATAAACCCAAGAACTTATATGCATAATCAATGGACACAGACAACAATGGCAAAAGGCAGGAGGGGGGCAAGAGTGGGGAGGAAGGGGTCAATGGGGGGAAAATGAGGAACATCTGTAATACATTCAACAATAAAGATAAAAAATAAATTAATGAATTAAAAAAAAAAAAAAAGAGAACATCGACGTGAAAGGGACACATCAAGTGGCTGCCATTCGCACGACCCAACCAGGGCCGGGGACAAACTGCAACCGAGGTACATGCCCTTAGCGGGAACCGAACCCGGGTCTCTCTGGACTGCAGGCCAACGCTCTAACCACTGAGCCAAACCGGCCAGGGCTAGAGTGGTTTTAATGTGTATTTCCTAATGATGTTGAGATCTTTTCATGTTTATTTGCCATCTGTGTATCTTCTTTGGTGAAGTATCTAGTCACATCTTTTGCACATTTATTAACTTTATTCTGTGACATAAGTGGAGCACCTAACACAGTTGTTGGTCCAGAGTAGGAACTGAAGCACACACCCCAACTGGCAGAAGGATGACCCTGACACTCTCTTCCTCACCTAGAACAGGTAAAAAAATGACACTATCCAGCTTAGAAGACATGTGAAAAGTTTATGATTTTAAATTTTAAAACAAGTAAAATCTACTCTCATTTGCAGAGAGGATAGTATCAGATCTGTTTTAGCTCACCTCTCCACAAAGTAGAAAGACAGTATATGTATTATTGAACCAATGAATTTCAGATGACAGAACAACATGGGGTGCTTATAGACTGCTAAGAGAAAAAGTCTTACCTGATTATGTTTATAAAGTTATTTATTGTCACAAGGGAAAAAATTTTCCAGTGGAATCTCATTTTAACACTATTCAATGGGTCTGGTGCAACAAGTAGATTTTAGATGTATGATACTGGTCAGAACAAAATATACTGAATAAAAGCAGAGAAAAGAGTACCTGACATGTAAAATGTATTTGCAAGAAGTTCTATCTGTGGTCTTTCATGTATGGAAGTATTTTTAAACTGTTACTATTTCATTAATAAAATTATAAGAGATTAAATTAGTACAATTAGATAAACAAGTCTTGGTTAATAAAAAAATGTCTTCTCAGCAAGAAATTTGGGGAAAGAATGATGCAGGAAATTTAACAGGGAGAGATTATTCAGTTTTGACATTTTTGTGACCACAGAGGTGGACTTGCGACAGATGTTTACATCTGCAGTGGACAGTGAAACATGCGGATCTGTGTGTGCCGTGGATAAAAAGGACAGTCTCTCCCACTGGCATATGATGGCTGGTGTCCAATCTGTACCTCCGCCTGTCTCCACTCCACCTTGTGATGCGAGAGCACACGGGCTGGGCACGGGGGAGGGTGTATGTGTATGTGAGAGAGAGAGAGTGTTTGTGTGTGTGTGCGTAAGAGAACGTGGGTGTGCGTGTATGTGGGGGTGTGAGTGTGTATGTGTGTCAGTGTGTGTGAGTGTGTCTCCAGGGGATGCCGATGACACTGCTGCACCACCCGTCTCCACTGCAGGCATACAAGTTACATGCCTTCTACACTTTGGTTTCCATCGAAGTCAATGTAATAATCACAAGTGAAATAATAAGTGGTTATCACACTGCATATCATACTTTATAATGTAACACTTTAATAACACCCAAATTAACTTTTAAATTAAACAATTTTCCTCATTATAATGACACCTCAGAGGAAGGAGTGAGAAATCTACAACTAGATGAGTTATTTCAAGGGTTTTTGTGTAATTGGTAAACCTGGTATGATTAGAATAGGCAATTTAATTATTCCACGGAGACACATTTGATTTCAGACAGGAAACCACATATATTTTAGGCATCCACCTAATTAGACTTTCTGTATTTCCTAACATTAACCTCCCCCGAGATGTTACATTTCAAAGATTGTATCACATACTTTTTTAAACGCAGGGGAGCATGGAACAGAACATGAATCCTGTGTGTCTGGGAAAGACGGCCGCGGTGAGCACAGCCTCAGACACGCCTTTGGCAGGACTCGGCACTGCAGCTGAGATTCAGCCTCACCCACGGGCTCTGGAGAAGGCCCAGGTGGCTCGACGTGCCAAACAGCAGATTAACGTCGACACGACTAATTTCTTTACTTTAATCTTATTAGTGGTTCGGCAGCTGTCAACCGTAACCCTCTGTGTGCAGCCTTTGAGACACAGACAGAGTGCGGCCATAAGTCAAAGGGGAGGACTGTGGAGCAACCACTATGGCTGATTAGCTTGCCAAGCAGTGTTTCCACTTTTATTGTGCAGGGGAAAGTCACTCACTTTCAGTAAACCTTGATCTAAAAACAGATATTTAGAATTATATTACAATCATCCGCTTAGAAATTGTTAACAATGCATTCGCCACACTGGCAAATGCTGTCTGGAGCCCTGACAGAGGAGACACGTAGGGTGCAGGGGCCTCCACGCCACAGCACCCCCGGCTGATGGAAGTCAGTCCCATGGCTGACTCACCCAGCCTGCCACCTGGGGTTAGCTCTGGAAAGAGTTTAAGGCAAGGTGGAGATGCCGTGGTTCTTTTTCAAGCTCCATTGCCAGGTCTTCCCTGGTCTTTCGGCCCCACACATACGAAGAGCTGCGAGTGGTTCGGTTCCCCTTTCCACTCTGAGGGGAAAACTGTTCTCGTGCCGGAACTGCTACACGGGACTCCCTGCCACAGGGAAACGCCTCCAACAAGGGCACCCACACCTCCTTTCATCACCCCCCACTTTGTGGTACAGCCAGAAAACCAAGCCAACTTCAGTATCAGAGTTTGCGTGGAAACTGCTGCGATGTACCACAAACGGCAGCGACACAAGGAGCCGGTGGCAGAGCCCGTGTCTGCAGCACTGTCACAGGAGGGACGGCCCCAAAACGGTCACCTACCCTCTTTATAACGCTTGCTGTTCACCAGAGCTTGCACCTCATTCCAACTGACACACAGCCGCACTGCCCACACCCACGTGAGCCGGGGGGAGACCCAGGCGCCCGCTCAGACTCCCCCGATGGGCACCGGCGAGGGACAGTGGGGCCCAGCTCGGGCTGGCTCCACAGCTGGTGCAACTTCTGTTTCACCAATGTCTCAGGAAAAAAGACAGCACACTTCTGAAGTGGTTCTTCTGTTGCATCCAATGGACAAACGAAGTGCTCACTTTTGTTGGGCTAAATACTTAAACGTGTTCTTAGTGATGTAAATAAACTTACCAGAAGTCCTCACTTAAACTCTGAACATAGAGAAAGGGTGCACACAACAACTTGGGATGCAGGGGCCGAGGGGCAGGAGGTGCACCGCCTGGGAGTGTGCTGGGCACGGGGTGACCCAGCTGGGCCTCTGGGCATGAGGGGCATCGGGTCACATGCAAGCCTTGTCAAGGTGCCTACTCGCCGCTGCCCTGTGCACAGCACAAAACATCAGTGTTCTCTCATGACTATTCGTTTCCGCTCCAATCCTGGGAGCAGTTAGAACCTCCCAGGGGTTTATCAGCGCTTCTGGATTTAGGGCTGGAGAATTTGTAGACCAGAGAGTTCTCCTTCACAAGGCTTCGCAGGCCCAGTTTGAGCTTTGCAAGCAAAGCTGAGCACCCTTGTTTTCCTCCTAACGGGGAGTGTGCACCACCCGTCAAGCCCGAACGCACTCCGGGTCTCCTGTGGTCTCCCCTAGGAACCCAGGGCACAGACGGCTGACAAACAGAACATGACGGACGGATGTAAAAATGACACTTACTTCGGAGGAACTCGTGAAGCTGTGCTCATATTTGCAGCTGGGACCACGCCTTGGAGAATGTGTTCTAGGGCTGTCAATCCACCGGCCACGTGGAATGCGATCTGGTCGGCCACGTTCTAGACGGAAGTGCAAACAGAAAGTCAGCTCAGCATTGAAGCACACACCGCAGCCAGGGAGACACGAGGGGCAGCAGGACACGCCCTGTCGGTCCAGCAGGGCTGCAGGCCAAGGGGGAGCACAGGCGACACCACTGCTGCCCCCACGAAGCCTGGGACCCAGGGGGTGACACAACACTCCCCTGTACCCAGGACCCAGGTGACTTCAGTGACAGGTCCCTGAGAAAGTGGGAGGGGACGGTGATCCACACCAGTGGACAATTACGGTACAAGAAGAGGGAAAACCATTTCAGTCACATGTTTCTAACAATACTTTGAAAAACCAGATGATTTTCTAACATTCATTATGACCTAACAAGACAAATCGACTTCCACAAAGATTTCCTCTCCTAGAAATTTTCTTCAGTCATAGGAGATAATCCACAGGAAGAAACTGGACCATTTTAGAACTCCGCCCTAATCGTGTCTGTCCATCTTCTGGACTGTGTGCAGTTCCTGTGGGAAGACACTTCTCTGAGCTTTCCGCACGCCTCTGGCCTGCGGAAGGCAAGTGTGACCCCGGGCAAGTGTGAGTTGTAAGGGTGCAGAGTCACTGCACCCACAGGGACGAAGCAGAATTAGCAACTGTTATGGGCCAAAGCGTGTGCCCCTCCCAGACTCAGGCAGAAGTCCCAACCCCTCGCCCCTCATTATGTAAGTCTATTCAAATGTAAAGTCTTTGCAGAGGTGAACACATTACAAAAGGCTGTTAGGGAGGGTCCTGGTCCAGCAGGGCTGGTGCTCTCACAGGGAAGGAAGACACAGGAAGGCAGGTGCAGGGAGAAGCCAGCCACTCACACCCAGCTGAGGCTCCGGGGAAAGACCAAGCCCCACAGACCCCAGGCGGCCCTCCTGCCTCTGCTCCTGCGCATGCTGCTCCTTCCCAGAGGGGTCAGCCTCCCCGCTCTGTATCCTCACTGAACCCACAGCTCCTGAGGTCAGGGCCTCGCCGGCTGTGTCACAGCCTCCCTGGCACCGAGAGGGGATGGCTCTGCAGTGCTGGGTCGCTGCTTGTCAGTGCAAATGCAAGAAAGCTGCTGACAAAGGCTCTCCCCCGAGCTTCGACTGCAGAGGCACAGACAGTCACTCCTTGGGTTGGGTCCCAGGACAACCCGTTCCCGTGACTGTGTGCAAGAGAACAAGAGTTTTTCAAATATATATATATATATATTTTTTAATCCTCATCCAAGGACATTTTTCCATTTTTTGTACAGACAGAGTGGGAAGGAGAGAGGGGAAGAGAGAGAGAGGGAAACATCGATGTGAAAGGGACACATCGAGTGGCTGCCACCCGCACGACCAACCAGGGCCAGGGACAAACTGCAACCGAGGTACATGCCCTTAGCGGGAACCGAACCCGGGTCTCTCCAGACCGCAGGCTGATGCTCTAACCGCTGAGCCAAACCGGCCAGGGCTCAGATATATTTTTTTTCATTGATTTTTTAGAGAGAAACATCAGTCGGCTGCCTCCTGCACGCCCCCTGCTGGGGATCGAGCCAGAAACCAGGGCCTGTGCCCTGACCAGGAATGGAATCGGACCTCCCAGTCCCTGGCATGTCGTTCAGTCCACTGAGCCAGACCGGCCGGACAAGAGTACAAGGGTTTTTCACTGGGACTGAATTCTGTGCCCAAGGAATGAAAACTTCTCAGGATCAAAGGACATGCCCTGAGCCTCCTGAGTGACCACCCCAGGCTTTCCGCGGGGATGCAGTGTGAGTGGAGCTCAGCTCCTCCTGCTCAGAACAGACGGGAGCCTCCAGCCAGGCAGATACTCCAGGAGGCGACCTGTCCAGCGGAAAGGAGGCCGTTCCCACGACGGGGAGGGGGGGGGGGGGGCGACGCACAGTCCGGGGGAGCGCTGAGGGAAAGCAGACGACCTCAATGTATACATCTCCGCCTCCAAAACAAAACCAAACAAAACCAAAGCTCTCATGTGGTTCCAACAACATGGATGTGACCCTGGAAAACGTAAGACACAGGCTCTCCTCGACATTAAGCAGGAAAAAAAAAAAGCCAATTTCAGAAGATAAAGGCCATTCAAAGCCACATTTTACTAATGTACCATTGAAAACTGAAATTTCAATGTAACATTTGTAGCTTTTCAAAGAAATAAAGCAAATAGCAAAATGAACTGTGAAATAACAAAGTTGCCCCCTCCCCTGCAGCAGGGGCTCTGGTTTGGGGACTCGGGCTGGAGAGGAGACAACCCACTCCTGCACCCCCCAGAGCTGGCCAGGCGGAAACCCCGCTCAGCCCTCCTGACTCTTCATGCCCTCCCAGGGCCGCTCTCTGCGAGCACAGGACAGGGTGGGTGAGGGCTCCACAGAAGGATGGACAGATAAAAACATGTCTCTCAGACAGCAACCATGTCCTGAGAGGTGAGGCAGACGAACGAGAGAACAAGCCTGTGAGCATGACAAGGAGAAACACCTCCCGTTGGACCCCATTCTGCCCGCACAAATGTGGACAGAAGGGGAAAGTTAAGTGGGCTCAATGACGAGCTTCCTAATGTTAGAACTAAACCCTCTTCTGAAGCACCTGGCATTAAACAGTCTGTGTGTCAAAAGGGGTGTCACTTCCCACCACAGCCCAGGCAGAAAGGAGCAGACGGCTAAGCATCCCCTTCCCGCCCACTCCCACGTGGATGTCCCCTGCCGATCACCAGCCTTCCTCACCCTGCTCTCTCTGTGGACGTGTCAACGCCACCTGAGTCTGGGTGCTCCGCAGACACCGCCGTGTGCCCATCCTTGCCCTGCGTGTAGGGAAAGCATGCTGCAGTGCTTTGCGGTGACTGATCTCTCCGTCCGCACTGCCACCCTCCCCACGTGTGACGTCCAAATGCGACCTCGGCCTGTAAGACACACATCCAGGTGGCCGCTTCCCAAGCCCCTGACACAGCTCATGTGCCCTGCATGTGTCTGAGCCCCTGACCACAGCCCGTGTGCCCTGCGTGTCTGAGCCTGGCCACGTCCTTCACGGTCCAGGCTTATGTGCCCACGCACCGCACTGGACAGCCCACACACCCTGCCTGCACCCTGGAGGAGGATGGGCTCAGGACGGGCTCAGGACCACCTGCCGGAGGCACCAAGCCAAGTCTGCTCGATGAAAGAAATGTCTCATCTGGAAGGTTAGCTTCTCTCTCCTTCCACGTATTTCGCAGATGCACTACATTCAGGCATGTGGGTGCAGAGCTCCCACAAAGGACGTCATCACGATCCGAGTGAGGAGAATACCTCTGCAGATAGAACGTGTGGCTTTGCGAACGCAGCCGGCAGAATGCCGTCCACACGGCCTTCCTCTGCCTTCCACCCCGGGGACTGACAACGGACTAATAGGATTAGCAGCTCCATCCCAATAACCCAGCTTAGCTAAAGGCCAGCACAGAATGACAGCTTCAGTCTGAATTACACGGCCTGGGACTCCATTCAGTTATTAACCAGAGTAACTGTTATTACCTTTCCCAATCAAAAGAGCGCAGCTGTTACTCTCTGGTGGCCAGCAAAGGCGGGTGGCCTTTGTACCTGACTTCTCCAGACAGTGATTATGCTCTCTGTGCACAGGGAGGGGCTTCCCGAGCCTCCCAGGCAGAGGTGGCAGATGGGGGAACTCTGCCTGTTCATTAGCAGGAGAGGTAAGAGCTGCTCTGTGCATCTGGAGGCACCTTCACACCTGTTCAGAGACGATACAAGTAGGTTTAGCAAGTCCGTACATTTCGAACTAAGACGAGAAGATCCAGGAGTGATTTTTTTGTGGCTGGTTGTTCCCACTTGGAACACCTTCCAAACACTCAGAGGACATCCTCTTGACAATCGACCATCTGCACCTGTTGTTGACGTAAAGGAAGCACACGCCTTCTTGTTCTGCTGTAGGACTTCCCCGGCCCGCCGTCCACAGTCCACACAAGGCCCAGGCCCAGCTTCTGAGCTGACACACTTGCCCTCGAAGGACCCAGGCTCCAGGGTTGAGAATGTCACGAGGGAATTATAAACTTGTGGGATTGTGGTGCCTAGAAAAGTAAACCGTAGCCCACAGTTGGTGGCTTGGGTAACGAGGTCAGTGGGGCTAAAGGGCTGGAGAGGCTTTCTCAAGGGGAGAGGAATAATTCCTCTGTGATGAGAATCAGAACCTGGGCCCTTTGGACTGCATCCTGTGCCTTGACCGGCCTGGACCAAGATGGGGCAGGGTGGGGTGGGGACTGGCATGCAGGACACGAGACCTAAGTGCCCCCGTCCCTTCTCTAGGCCCTCGTGCAGCAGAGGACGGAGATCAGTGCACACTCCTGCAATGCAACAGGGTCACGGGCAATTCATTCTTATCTCTGTCAGTCACCTCAGCTCCAAGGCACTGCCCAGGGCAGGCCAGGCCCAGCACTCAGGCGAGCGCGAGGGAGGGAGAGCGGGAGGATGCAGAGCATGCGGACAAGTGCACAGGGGGGGTGTGCGGGAGCTGCGCACAGCTGAGGAGTGGATCCTGCCTCGGTGCTTCAGGACTCACGGGTAGCACGGACGACTTCTACCAGAGTGAAAGACAAACGACCCACATGGGAGGCTCCTTCAACTCCTCTGTTCTCCCCTGTCTCCACTAGCTAGTCACCGGCAGGGTTACGGCAGACAGGGTCAGGGTCTCGGTCTCACACAGCAGTTCTGCCCCGCCCCCCCGTTCCTGCATCCTAACTGCACATTTTAAAATTGGGGAGCAAAGGAACTCAGGACCCATTTTGGACAAGGAAGTGCTATGGACAGAAGCCAGACCGTGGACAGACCGCCTCGGGTCCAGGGGCTGGCAGGGCAGGCCCCTCTCCACCCTCAGGGAAAGTGCCATCCCACACCCGGGGTCACTGACTGGTTTCTCTATTAGTTCATTGTAAACCACATCATACTGATGACCTATTTACGTATTGACGAAGTATACTGTGTGAGCTCTGACAGCTGGGATAAGGTTTACACAGGGTAAAAATTAGT